CATGAACAAAATCATAGAATTTTGCTCATTCAAAAATGAGCCCAGGGTTCGATAATCCATCTGCCAATTTATGTTTTCCATTACCTTATCTGGTAGGTCCTTTTAGTTTTATTAGACTTTTATGACCATCACCTTAAAGACTCCAAAGGCTGTTGAGTCCCAAGGGCAATGTTCTTGAACTTCATGCCTCCTAAAATACTAAAATGAATTTGTGTGACCAATGTAGCCTCATGGAGAAAATGGATGATTTCATTCTGTTTAGGACTAAGCAATAAATTAAAAATTAATTTTGAACTAATATACTTAATATTAATTAAATATATTATTTTATATCAAATAAGGCAATGATAGAGCTCACCACTTTACAAACTTATTTCATTGGAAATAAGCAGTAAATAAAAAATTCATTTTTAACAGAAAAGAGGGGCTTGCTTATTTTGCAATAAATCTCTTGAAACCTGGGTTTAATTTTAAAGACTGCCACTCTCATATATCAAATGGTAGAGTAGCTGAGGGAAAATCTCTAAAAAAAACCCAACCTTTCTCTTAAATTCCTCCCAAGTTTCTACAAATAGCAGAATATGGCCAGGCTGTAAGTTCCCAGAGCAGCCACACTGAGATAGCATCTGCTTTCTCTTCCAGTATGGTTATGTCTCCTCTCACTCTTGCAATTTTTTGCTGTCTTCTTCCTTACAGACTTTCCATCCTTCTGTCTATGGCAATTCCTTCTAGAGAGCTAGAATCAGAATCTGGGAATGAAGCTGCCTCACCTGAAGGCAAAAAGAACACTTTTAATACAGGATGCTAAAAGTGTTACTTGTGAGATACTATCTTCCCAGTACCATCTACCTATCCGGTTAGATCTGGCAGAAGAAGCAGTCTCTATATTCTATCCACAAAATTGTCACAATCAGGACTCAGAATGAAGTACTTTTAATCCATCCTATGAAACATCATCTCTAAAAATCAGACTTCTCTGACCTGCTGGCTTTCCATAAGGCACCCAAAACTTGGCTTTGCCATCAACCAAAAGCCCCCGATTTTATGGGTGAACCCATTTGATGGTTAATTTGAATGTTTATGAGTTTTCTTGGCTGCTATTTTTTGTTATTTATATTGTTTTTAATTTTGGTTGTATTTATTTTTATTCTATTATAATTATTATTAATCAAATACACAACTGCATCACATAAACTAAATTGAATGAAGATGACAATGTGGCCCCGTCCAAGATATGTCCAACAGGTTACCAAATCCTATAAAGCTGCAACTCTGTGAGGTGGTGTTGGAGTTATCTAGGCTCCGATTTTTATCCCCTGAATATGAGTTCTGATCACTTTGGTTTTCATAGCTTCCATGATCTTGTTCTAGGTCATATCTGTCTTGAAACAAATGATTATATACTAACTTTTGGTACAATGGCAGCATGATCTAAACTTGGAGGACATTGTTATCAATCCACTACAGAGATAGTATTCTGCCGGTTCGCACCGGTTCAGGTGAACCGATAGTGGCGGCGGTGCAAGGCTCCACCCATCCACCCAGACATCATCACGGACCTTCTGCGCATGTCCAGATGTGCCGCGCATGAGTGAAGCGATCGCGTGGGTATGTGCACTCCCGCTACTGAACTGGTAGTGAAGATAAGAGGATATCATTCCTGATCCACTGCTATAGTCAGGTCATTATTTTATTCATTTAGTTATTATTAGATTGTGTGACCGCTGCATAGGTGATAGGCCAACCAAGCTGATTTGACACAGGCATCTTACTGAGTCAAATAATTTATTAAGAGCATTTAGGGATTTCCTCAACAATGATTATACTTGATTGCTTTCTGGAGTTCAATGCTAGGTAAAGCACAAGGCAAGATTGCATCCAATTAATATCTGCAGTCTCAGATCCCAGTGTCTCCTTAATGTCTACGGAGATTCTCAATCACCCAGATCATGATTGTATAAAGGAGTACATTCCCCTTCCATTCCCCACCATCTGGTCAGAGCTGAGGAAGCTTCTTGGATGAAAAGAGAAATGTCTTCAAAGAAAAACCAGAAAGTCCAACCACCTCTTGAAAAAGCACCTTTGGGACAGTCTCCTTAATTCCCTAAAGAACCCCCAAAATGAAGAAACAGCCGCATTGAATTGTGGCTGTTCGGAAAATGATAGCCACTTCTAGGATCACACCATGAAGCTCAGTGAGTGGCTTGTTTAGCTAATACAAGCTCTGCAGCATTCCACAGCATTCTAAAACAGCAGAATGCTGCAGAGCTCGAGTTAGTGAAGCCAAGAGGCTTCTTCATTGCTGGGATCACACTGCACTACACTGCAATCCCACATGCGGCCACCATTTTTCAGGCGGCCACTTCTGGGATCATGCCATTTGGCATGTGACTGCAGAAAATCATCCTGGAAGCAGCCACTCAAAAAACGGCAGCTGCTTGTGGGATTATGCTGTGCAACTCAGCAATGGAGAGGCTTGCTTCTGCAGTGCCAGAAAGCTGTGCAGTGCAATCCTGGAAGTGGCTATTTTCTGAGTAGCCATAATTCCATGTAGCCGCTCAGAAAATAGCAGTTTCTTTCAGGCTAGAAGGCCTCTTCCAGGGCCTTCTACTCAAGGAAGCCAGTGCTTCTTTTAGTAATCTGTGTGATTTGACATTAGGAAGAGAAGCGGTGGGGGTATTAATTCCAGGACTACCTGTATACTGCGAGCCTTGCTAAGAGTTACCTAGGGTTATCCATGTGCCTGGAAATGAAAGATTTATCCATTGACTGCTGTAATAATTTTCTGATGCTGTTTGCAGATATTATTTTCATTCACTCAAAAATGCCACAGGGGCAGTCTTACAACTTTACTACCAGTTTCCAAGAACAATCAAGATTCTTTTTTTCTTCATAAAAACTGTGGAAGTGGTTAATATTCCCTAGGGGTTGGTTTCTTTGAGTGACTAGATGAAGTGTGGGGTAAGATTTTATTTGGTAAATGATCAATTTATTTGAGAGATGGGGAGATACCAGCTTTGAAGAACATACTGTATGTTTCTGCCTAAATGGGGCATTTCTGAATCCATTTGTACTTGATACTTTATGATGCTTTGGTAAGGCCACACTTGGAATACTGCATCCAGATTTGGTCGCCATGATGCAAAAAAGATGTCGAGACTCTAGAAAGAGTGCAGAGCAGAGCAAGAAAAATGATTAGGGGACTGAAGGTTAAAATATATAAAGAACAGTTGCTGGAATTTGGTATGTTTAGTTTAATGAAAAGAAGGACTAGGGGTGACATGATTCCAATATCTCAGGGGCTGCCACAAAGAGAGAGTCAAACTATTCTCCAAAGCACTTGAGGGCAGGACAAGAAGCAATGGGTGGAAACTAATCTAGGAGACAAGCAATCTAGAACTAAGGAAAAATTTCCTGAGTTAGAACAATTAACCATTGGAACAATTTGCCTCCAGAAGTTGTAAATGCTCGAATACTGGAAGTTTTAAAGAAGAGATTGGATAACCATTTGTCAGAAATGCTATAGGGTTTCCTGACTTAGTAGGGCATTGAACTAAGGTCCCTTCCAACTCTGTTATTCTGTATGTTCTATCTTTTTGGATTAAAACTCTCTTGCAACTGTGACTCATGCCCTTTTACTTAGACTAGGCATGTCCAACTGATGGCCCACAGGCCACATGCAGTCCTGAACAGCTGGCCCACATCATGATAAAAAGTATATTTAAAAAGGAAGTTTTTATATACATTAACTATATATTTTATATGCGACCCAAGAAAATTGACCAATTCAAGATGCTCACGTAAACACTTTAAATATTACAAGGCTTCATACTATGCTCCAGGACTGTCTGATTAAAATCAACCCTTCTGAATATCTGCCAAGGTCTTTAATCCATATAATGTAAAAGGACTTAAAACCAATTAGTATTACTACTTAATGATAGCTCTAAGAATAATTTATGAATTGATTAGTCTTGCAATCTCATAAATAAGATGGTTCTACATTATTTGCCCTATGGTTCAAGGAGCCCCCCCCCCATGCTTTGATTTCAATAGTTTAAGGTTATCATCATAAATTCATGGAATACTTTTATGGCAATTGTCATTGTTTCTACTTTTGTAGATTGCATTTTGATAAATTGCAGATTGTTTATATACCACCTGCAAAATTCAATTATATATAGCAGGGGCTTCCAAGCCCTGGGCCATGGACCATTCAGAACCAGGCTGAAGAAGTGGCACGTATGCATGCAGGTTTCACTTGCATGCGCAGTGGACAGATGAACCCACACAACTCCATTTGTGTGAGTGGCAGATGCACATGCCTGCCGCTTTTGCAAATAGAGCTGCTCACATGGAACCATCCCCTTTGTCCCCATCAGTCCACAATGCTGGAGAAGCTGGAGATCGCTGCTATACAGGGTCATACAAATAAATACAAGCGCTAGGAACAAGCGCTTTTCTATAAGTCTATAGACAAAGAGATTTGAAAAAAGGACAATGTCATTCACTTCTTCACAATCCTAGCAAATCATGTGACTGTATAATTGTTCAACAAGATACAGATATAGAATACCCGCTTATTACTTGTTGAATGCTTAATTTTACGATTGGGAAGAATCTCTCCAAAGCTCTGTTGTAATACTACTTGGAAAAAATTGCTCCAGGGAAGGGGAAATGACTCGTTTTCTTATAAAAGGAAAATTTAGACAATTCTTGATTTATAGCAGAGACCAGTTTTACTGGAAAATACTAAGTCAGCAAAGAAATAAGCATTGAATATTGCTAATTTTATTATATATTTATTCCAATACACACAATGAAATAAAGTAAAAATGCTTGTACACAAATTCTTATGCTAAATTTAAACATAGTAATTCTAATCACCAAAAAATTAAAAAAAAGTTTTGACTTTCAGTGTTTGGTTGCATCATAAATAAAAGGAAATAAATTATGAGGGGTATGGTCTCTACAAGGCGCATAAATACTTTGCATTTATGTACAATTGCACAAACTATCATTTTCAGTAACCATCATGAAGATTTCTTCCTGAACTAAAGACGAATCCATAAAGTGAATTATCCAGTACAGGATATATTATAATCTTCTAAGGTTATATTTACTCCTTCAAATAGTTTTAAACTGTTCCATAGGGCCGTTCTATAATACTTTTACTTCAATGAGAATATTTAACTGTAAGGGTTGCCCCACCCTCAACATAGTTTAACTTCTAAGGAACATTCTCTTTTGCTTCTAGCTTTGCATTTTCTGGCTTGTTGTCATTTTCGAGCAAAAAATACTTTATGGGCTTGCAGTTTCAAATAAGTGTTTCAGTATATTAATGAACTATAAAAATTAGTAGAATCATGCTTATTTTACTAGAAATAAAGTGTAGTATTATTATACAAAGCAGTATCCACATTAAGTCTTAAGAATAACAAAAGGAGTCAAATTACAAATTAAATATTTTGAGATACCCAATACATTTTCTAAGTTGTTTCTATTAGTAAGCCAAATATTGTTTGAAAGTTCTGTAAGTTACAGAATTAATTCCATAATATACAGCAAGACCACACACTTTGTTCAAAATGTATTTGTAGGCGTTTACTCTTGTAATGCAAGCATAATTTGTGTAGTTTCCTGCAGATAAATTTAAGTCCCACAACTGAAAAGGGATTTAAACCCACAAAGTTTCAATATGATTAACAAGGTGAACTGTGGCTTTTTATGCCAGAATTGCACATAACTTTTCAGAAAGCAAGCCAATGACAGATAGCTGGTTCTGCAATTGTAGAACATGGTACAGATCAAAACTATTGTCAACCGCACAATATTTTCCCAAAGGTACTCCTCAAATTCAAAGTCCTTGAGATAGCAGTTTGCAGCAAATACACAGCACAAAGTAATTCAACTTATTATTTTTACACAGACAAAGAAATAAAAAGACCTTCATATATTAACTAAATAGTATATTTATTTTGCTTATGTTTATGCACTTTTTTATCTATCAGCTCATATTACTGGTCAACACTGATCCACAATCATTAACCAATTAAAAAATTCTTCTCAAGAGCAAAAACTCATTTTTTAAGTCATAGAGCTGGTATTTTAACCTTTTACATGCTGAAATTTTCAATATGTGGAGACTTCACAATCCAAGACCCATAACCATGTTGCTCCAAGTAGGACTTCAGCAAGTATTTTGTCCCTTGGTAAGATTCTGCCATAATCTAGATAATAAAAAGAAATACTGGGGAATTGATAACAAATTAGAAAGAAAATTTAACAATAACCCTTTTCAAGAAATGCACTTTATTTCTGATTTTTAACTGATGTAATAGATGGCTGGAACTTTTTCTTAGATCTTATACTGTGATTTTTATGGTTTTGACTTTTTTTAAACTGTTTACATTTTGTTTTAAGTTAGAGCTATATATCACCTGTCACATGAATGAATGATCTCAACAGAAGTTACTACAGGTACTTACAACCATTCGTTTAGCGACTGAAATTACAACATCATTGAAAAAAAGTGACTTATTACCACACTTATGACTTTGCAACAGTGATTATGTGATCAAAATTCTGGCACTTGACAACTGGCATGTATTTATAAGTTACATTGTCCTGAGGTCATATGATCATTATTTGTAATATTCCCATCCATTTTTTGACAAGCAGACAATGAGGAAAGCCAGATTTGCTTAATGACTGCATGATTTGCTGTAACAACTGCAGTGATTCGCTATAACAACTGTAGCAAAAAAGGTTGCAAAATGAGGTGTAACTCCCTTAACTGCCTAGCTTAGCAACAGAAATTTCCGGTTCAACTGTGGTTGTAAATTGAGGATTGCACTACATGGAACATAAATAGTAAACAGGATTGGGATTCATTGGACGGAGGATATAAAAAGCTCCTAGGGTTGTCTACTGGTCCTATAGTTACTAAGAATGAGTATATTGGAGGAATAGAAAAAAGCCTTTGCAGATCGTATAGGCAACACCAATTTTTTTTTAATCATTGCTTGAATAAATATTTTAGTTGCTAAATACGAGTTATCACAAAGTTTGCCTTTAGATGACAAAAGAGGTATATATTTAGTTTCTTTTCCATTTTGTGATAAATCCAATTACAGGTGCCACTATAAAAAAGCACACATAGTATGGAATGCTTCTCTTTACATGTCCTAAATTTCTCCAGGCCACAATGAAATAGTACTCAATAATTTCTCTTATTTGTTGTAAAAAGGAAACAAGGGAGAGAAAGATGGGCAGAAATTCTGAAAACAGTTACTAACTTAAATAAAAGTGGCTTGTTTTTGATATGATTCCTACCTATAGACTAGGCATATAAAGTCATCCTGTGAAGTCATCCTGTGAAGTTAAGGCAAGAAACATGCAGATCCACTTTCCAAATCTAATATCAATTCTGCAACAGATCACAAATAATGGCTGTTTTCTTGCCAATACTTAAATCATACCATGATTATTACTTACCATATTTTTCGAAGTATAAGATGCACCCTCCCCCCCCAAAAGGGCTGGTTTGTTGATTCAGCTTTGTTACATTTTAGAGGTGTTAAGTGCTTTTGGCTGAATGGGATGGCCAAGCATCTGATTAAGCTTATTAAGATTTCCCCCAGCTGCCGGGGGGGGGGGGGGGGGGAAGAGAAAAAGTGACTAAAAGTGTCATTTTATTATACTATTGTGTTTGCTTGTTTTTCTGGTGCTATGGGAATAAAAATGAATACCTGGTAGGCAGAATCCCCCCCCCCCATTTTCTTCCCCAAAAACTAAGGTGTGCCTTATACTCCGGTGTGCCTTATACTGAAAGATGCGGCAGCTTTGAAGCCAATAGTTCAATAGCTATAATTCTACATTAGAAGTTATGACACTTTTATTAGAGCACATTTATATTAGCTAATGTTACCTTTGCTTCATGGTAAGTTGTTGCTTTATGTAAATCTTCTCTCTTTGATTCTTTAACCACTAACTTAAAGCGACTTAGCATTGCAGCTTTGCAAAGACGACTTGCCATTGAAATACCACTTTTGAAGGGTGAACTAGTTTTGAAAAAAATAGCAATGAGCATATTCCAACAATTACCACTGGTTAAAACTGTAAACTATCATTACATAATAAAATTGAAAATTATTTTGAAAGAAGTCTCTGTTAAAATTATTTTAATAAAATTAAGATTTTTATTATGTTTCTAAAGAACAAGTATGTTAGTTCATATTTTATTTAAGGGACTTTATTGCAATACTAACCTTTCAATGATTTTTCCATTTAATCCATCTATCACCTCCAGCGATAAGTCCCCTTGTGACCAATTTACACTAAGAGACCTCTGGTCCAGGTCAATCTGTACAGGGTATGCAGCAGTTGCCAAATTAATATGAGGTCTATTCACAAGATAGAACACCGGAAGTTTTTTACTAAGTGCATCATCTATGCGTTGTTTGATGGCTATTTCTAATCCTCTTGTACTACAGCAGTTTGCGTCACCTAAAAAAATTGAGATTCGTATCACAAATATTAAAATGAGGAAATTAATTCTATTGTCACCATCACTATAAATATTAAGATGAACTTGTATAAAATTACAGTAGACATTTATTTTTTTGCAAAGACACTGACAACCTAATATTGGCAATAAAATTTGTGTTTATTATTTCAGTCCTGATTAAAATGCTTTTGCAACTAAATAGCAGATTCACATATCAGTTAAAATACATAGATCTCCTAAACCATTCATTATAAAACAAGCATCAGGCCATGGACTGCCTATGAATGCATACTGAAATTTTGTATACTTAAGTTCTGAATGAGGATTTCATAGAATTCCAGCACTGCAATTTTGCATACCTTGTTTAGAAAGTCAAAAAAGTATTTTTAATTGAAAATAAAAATGTAGCATTTAAACCTGTATTTCTTCTCTAACAAACTTCACTCATAAGTCATGTGAAAAAGGTAAATACAATCCCAGATTAACAATGCATGACATATTACAGTCATCATTTTACAAAAAGAAAAGCAAAATGGAGAAACCACCTTTAGCCATAACTTGAAGTAATTGTTTTCTGTATGACTTTCTCACATCATTGTGGAGGAATTTTGGTCCACTCTACTTTACAACATTGCTTCAATTGATTGAGTTTTGTGGGAATTTGTTTATTCGCAAGTCTTTTGAGGTCTCACTACAACATTTCAATTGAGTTGAGGTTTGGACTTTGTCCGGGCCATTGGAACACCATGGTTTTCTTTTTCAGCCATTCTGTTGTAGATTTGCTGGTGTGCTTGAGATCATTGTCCTGTTACATGACCCAATGCCAGAGAGCTTTAGCTATCGGCCTCATGTTTGTCTTTAGAGTATTTTAATAGAAAAGTTCATGGTTGGCTCAAAAACTGTAAGATGCCTAGGTCCTGTGGCTGCAAAACAAGCCCAAATGATCAGCCACCAACATGCTTGACAATAAGTATGAGAAGTTTGTGCTGATATGCGTTGTTTTCACCAAACGTGGCACTGTGCATTTTGGTCAAACACCTCTGCTTTGGTCTCATCTGTACAAAGGGCAGCATTCCAGAAGTTTTGTGATTTGTTTAGATGCAACTCTGTAAACCTAAGCCATGCTGTTATGTACTTTTTTTTAGAGAGAAAAGAGGCTTTCTTCTGTGATCCTTCTAAGCAAACCATACTTGTTCAGTCTTTTTCTTATTGTAGTCATGAACTTTAACATTTAACATGCTAACTGAAGCCTATGGAGTCTTGAGATGTAACTTTTGATTCCCCCCCCCCTGCAATTTTTCTAAGCATTTGACAATCTGACCTTAGGGTGAATTTGCTGGGACATCCACTTCTGGATGATTTGCAACTATCTTGAATGTGTGTCTACTTATAACAATCTTCCTCACTGTAAAATGATGGGCTTTAAATTGTTTGGAAGTGGCTTTATAACTCTTCCCAGATTGATGGGCAGCAACAATTGCCTCTCTAAAATCACTGCTGACGACTTTACTCTTTGTTTGTATTAACACTTCTATGCTGGAGATCAGCAAACTTCTAAAATCTCAATTTTTATAGAGAGTCACACTTGCTGATGATCAATTAATGAACTTGATTAGCAGCACCTTGCTGCTACTTAGCCTCTTCATATCTATGAAAGCAGTAAAGGTGTAACTAGTTTTTTCCACATATGCCTGGTACATTTTGGCTTTCTTTTTATAAAATAAACAATGACATGGTATAATGTCATGTGTTGTTGTTCATCTGAGGTTGTATTTATCTACTTTTAAGAACTGCTAAGTACCAGATGATTTTTACTTATGTGCTGATATGCAGAACTGTAGCAATAATTTACTTACCAAGAATTATTGTGCTAACATAAATTGGCTGAATGAAGTGACTCAGTAGGGCTCCTTGAACACCTAATACTTCCCACCTTGTCAGTTTATCACTGGTAGACATGCTGCTTATTGTGGCAATTTCAGCAGGACAAAAAGCTGTGAGATAAACCTTGCCTTCAACAACCACATGAAGACACAGTTCTTCATCAGCTTCAAATGCAGATACTGAGTTTGGATTGAGGTGTCTACAACAAAGGATATAGTTCAATGCTTTCATATCCCAAACACATAAGACAAATAAAAACAATATTTTAAGAGAATACAAAACACTGAAATAAAAGCTAGATTGAAAAGTATTTTATTGTTCTTTTATTTTATCACGGTATAACAAATTGAGGTGTTGGACAAGGATTACAAAGATAGAGATTCTAATCCACTCTCAGCTACAAGAGTTCAATGGATAGCTTTTGGACAACCTACCTTACAGAGTAGCTTTGGGGGAGCAAAAATAGGAAACAGCACTATCTATGCCATTTTGGGCTTCTAAACACAATGAAATATATAAATTAAATAAACAAAAAGCCTCAGGAATATATAACTAAGAATTTGTTTACAAGGGAAATTGTGTATTTTAATGAATTCTGCTTTACCTTTAGAAACACTACTTACAATTTGGACTTTATCTGAGCAGATCCTTTTGGCAACTGATTCATGTAGAGAAACACTTTTACATTTGGTTTTAATGTAAGTAGGTTAGATGTTGGTTCAGCACAAAATATGGATTTGTCCATCATAGCAGGATTTTTACTGTAGTAAAGTAAAAGCTGTCTATAAAAATACCTTTAAAGAAATATTAAAATTTTAGACAATAGATATTAAAGCCATTATGTGATTTTTCTTTAAATTTTGGAATATTTTATATAAAAGGACGTAAAAACAATTATAGCCAAATGAAGGTTGAAGTATGATGACAATAATATATATATATATATATACACACACACATATACACATACATACACACACACTTATACATATATATGATTTAAAATATATAACCATATGAATTGTAGGTGATGACTGTGGAAGGGATGTATGAAGGTTTTTTGTAAGCAATTGACACACTTTCTACAATTTGTAATGGAAGATGGTTTTGTGATGTTTTTTGTGTTTTGTTTGTCTGTGTTTATTCAAAAATAAAACATTCTTATATATAAAAAAGAAATATTAATATTTTAGACAATTAGATATTAAAGACAAGTCTTTAAAACCCATATTAAATGCAGTTGAATTTCTATGAACTTCAACACCATAGAAGAATTACATAAATGTAACTGGGGCGAGGGGGGTGGGAAAGCATCATTATATACGTACCTAAGTAGAGAACGCCTTGCAGTAACAACTGCGTGACTATCATGCAACACTCTTCCATCAGGATGACTGCATTGGCTATAGTTAAATTCACCTGTTCCAACAGCTACCACTTCAGGTTTTGTAGCTATGGGAAAGAAAGAGTAATTTTTTGTGTGTTTTCAGGCTAAAAAGACTACCAACATCTAAACCATATTATTTTCGGGAAGCATGCTTACCTCTTTCAATTATGAAGGCAGCTACTGAACTGCTACAACTCTGGTACTCTGGATACTTATCCACCAAATTATCGAATGTTTCTCTGACAACTTGAGAAATTTTTCGATGTGCGAGATGCTGCCCCTCTAGTAAGATTTTTTTTTAAAAAAGTAAACAAGATAGGTAAGGTTTTTTTAGCTATACTGATAAAATCATTCAAGAAAAGAAAGAACATTAAAGTTTGCATTTTTCAGTGCATAAATAGGGTAACTTGTGAGTGGAAAATCATTTTCTTGAAATCTCTAGGCTTCCAACTATTTATTTTGATAGTAAAATTGTACTTGGAACAAATAACTAATTAGAGAAAATTTAACATTATGTAGCCAATTATTTTTATCCCTCCATCAAAGCTTAGAGCTTTGAACTACAGGTGGTCCTAGCTTAATGACTCCATATTCGGGGACTGAACTTGCAATGATGCCGTATAGTGATAATTATCACTGGTCTTTGTACTTATATCAGCAACAACAGCTCCATGATTGCAATCCTGGTGCCTGGCTCACAATTACAATAGTGCAAGATTTTGTAGTCATATGACCACTATTTTGACCTTCTTGCATATATTATTGCTCCATCTAGCTCCTAATACAGAATTCTCTGCCCACAATCATCAGAGCTGTCTCTCTCAAATCTAAGCCAGGCCAATCCATTTACCCTTGAATCAGAGGGTTGGAAAGGCCCCTCAAAGTCTAGATCCGGCATGTCCAACTCCTGGCTTGAATATGTCCCTGGATAGCTAGTAATGCTGCCCCAAAATATAAAAAATACTTTTAACAATCAATCAATCTATCTATCTATCTATCTATCTATCTATCTATCTATCTATCTATCTATCTATCTATCTATCTATCTATCTATCTATCT